CGGGGGGCAGCAGGCCGCGGGCAGCTGCTCGGCCAGGCGGTTCACGTGCTGCTGGAGGGTGCTCACGGCGTCGCGGTTGCGCTGGTCCGCGGAGGAAACCAGTTTCTCCAGGGCTCGCATTCGGTCGTGGTCCTCCGCCTGCTGCCGCCGCAGCCCCTCCATGCCAGTCAGGCAGGACGCGCAGGACTCCTGCAAGCGCCGCTCCACCTCCCGCAGGACCTCGCCTCGGACGTCCGTCCCGCTGCCGCCCGCGCCTCGCCCGTTCTCGTGGTTGGAAATGCGGTTGTCGAGGCGCTGCAAGTGGCGCTGGATCTCATTGAGGGTCTCCTTCATCTCCGGGTGGGCGGCCGCGTCTGCCGGCTGCTTGCCGTTCAGGGAGGTCTCCACTGCCCGGCGCACATCTTCAGTCAGCTTGGCGTTGTTGGCCTGCATGGTGGACTGCAAATCGTGCAGCTGCTTGGTCAGGCTCTGCACTTTTTCTTCCAGCTGTTGCACTTTCTCCGAGTCCCTGTTTCCTAATTGAAGAGATTGGAAAGTGCATCAGGGCACTTCGTCTCGAATTTATCAACCTGACGAAACAGTGGAGAGCTTAAACTTGAGTGGCTGGGTAACTTTTAACACAGTTAAAGTTACTTCCTCAACCTGCTGCCCTCCTCTTGTCTGGAGGGCAGCATCTGTAACACCAATGACCAAGCCATGATGGAAGTTTAATTCAACTCTCTTGTATCTGGGATGCCCCATACTGGGAAAAGCCAATAGAAGAGAATATATGTAGCTCGGGGTTGAACTGTGGAGTCCTTGGTGCTCTCTGAGCTTGGTTGTCTGTTTGCGGACATTTCATTACCTGACTAGGTAACATCATCAGGGCTAGTGAGTGTGGGGTTTGCTGGGAACACTGATGATGTTACCTAATTGGGTAATGAAATGTCTGCAAAGAGACAACCAAGCTCAGAGAGCACCAAGGACTCTACATGGGGAAAAGTGGCTGGAAGGGCCTGCAAACTAAGGTCATTTTCCTGAAACCAAACTTGTATTAAAAAAAGCTTAAAATGGGCTGTTGGTTCTTGGAGTATTTTTGCACAAATCACATAGGCCCTTTCCTCTTGTGCAGTTTTCATTGGCATCTCAATGTTCTTTGATCATCTTTAATAATCTCCATCCCATGATTTAAACCATCTTATACCAGTCCTTTGTGCAATATAAAAAAATTTTTTTTTTCTGAATAGAGCTGACACAGAACCATGGTGTGTTGATGTTATTGTGTTCCCACCCCAATTTTGGAGAAGTGTGTTAATGTGACCAGACCAGCTTGTATCATTAGAAGATGGGGGGGGGGAAGCGTGCCAGTATTTTAGGATGATGAGTAAGAAATATATGTCATTGCCTATTCATCAACCAAACAGAATGTTTTCATCATATCACCAATGAGGACAACACATTTTATTAACTAGCCAGGACAACATATATCTTTGTTGGCAAAGACAGTATATTAATAAAGGAAGGACTAAGTTACTCTACCCTAATGAAAACAAAATCTTTAAGTTTTTGTGTATAAAAAGAGCTCAAAAGCTGTTGAAGTCAACTGCGAGGTTCACCACTCTGAAAAGGCCTTCCTGGAACTTAATCTGAAGAAAAGTAAAAATAGCTTTTGTCAGCATTATGGGCCAAATAATGGGAAACTACAGGATACAAACTTTTGGTGGATCAGGCCCAAAGCCCCCTCTCATCCAGCAGTACAGTCTTTCTTCCAGTAGCAATTGGCTAGTATTTCTAAGAAGTTGGTGATGGCTTCCCCTGTATCTTGTCTCCAACATCTGGTCTTCCAAAATGCATTACCTCTGAATGAAGAAGAGCTACGGACATCTCTCCTCTCCATGCATTTATTGAATCCTCTTTAAAATCATCTCTTTAAGCCTTTTTAAAATAATCTCATGGAAGCCTGAATCTCTCCACAGCTGGCACATATCTTTCCATCAGTCTCTTTCAACAATGGGCAGCTGCGAAGATACTGGGTAGATTTTAATCATTTTGAAAGAGATTTGACAGGTGCAGCTTGTCACAGAGGGGTGAGAAAATAAGCTCTGCTAAAATGCTATGTATTCACCCATTAAAGACCGAGGAGCTCCACTGCTCTTCATCTCCTCTGACAATTTTATGCAGATTCTATTAGGAGTAAGAAGCATGGGAAAATACCCAGTGCAAGGAATCAAAAGTCAGCCTGAAGTAGAAAATCTGGGGAGAGGTTTGTGGCAGGGGAAACCAGAGTGAGGAGTTGCCGCCAGTGCTGAGAGCCAACCAAGTGAGAATCTGTGAAGATGTGCTGCAGTGACTGCCAAGTGATAAACCCAGCGCAACCATCAATCTGTTAAAAAGCAATCTTTAAAGAGTCAACCTCCTAGGAAGCTGGAAAAATGCTATGGTTGTATGCCCCACATACATACACGTCTGTATGTATGTACTCCCTGAGAAAGCCACGGAGGTGAAGCATGGCTACAAAGCTAGAACTTTTCTTTACAGTAGGAAAACCATGGGGAGAAGGGTGGGTAGGAGCTATCACACAAGGGGAAGAACGTAAGGTTTTTAAGATAGTGATTTTACCACTACAATACAGCAGATTGGACTTTGTTTATACCCTTTCCAATTTACCTTCTCCACCACTGAGTGTGTTGCTAAAGCCAGACAGGTTGGGTTGACCAGGCTGAGGTCGTGGTCTGCTGGTAGTAAGTAGCACCCCGCCTTCAGCACAGTCATCACCCGAATAGCCAGGGCAGCAGCGCCACTCCATGTCGGACACCATCTTATAGGCCACCTTGTAGCGTGGGCGCACAAAACTCCGATACCTGTCAGTAAAAGAAGGAGCCAAAAGGATTTGTGCCTGCAGTAAGGAATGGGGCAAGGGTCTCCTTGCGGTTAGTTACTTGCTTGGAGAAGTAGTAATGTTCTTGGCAGGCAGTTGGCAAGCAAACTGCTAGCATTCCGTATTTCCCTTCTTAGGGCGTGGTGGATCTCTCCAAACCAAATAATCTTCTCTGTATCATTCTTCTGACTCATGGACAACCAGAGCTTACTCCATATATTCCTTAGAAAAGGCTAAAAGCTCCTCTAGTTTGAGCAAGCATCACCCTCTCTTCCTGGACAAATAGGCTTGATCATGACTGATTTAAAAAAACTAAACAGGGTCAAACCTGGTTAATGCTTAGATGAAAGATCACCAGAAATCCTCACGGTGCAGTCTATGCTGGGAAGTAAAACAAAAAATCTCAGAAGAAGGCAAAGGCAAGCCACTTCTGTACTGTTGCCAAAATAGCTACAGTACACGGATGTGTTCATATAGTCAGTCACCAAGTCAAATCGGACTGGAAGAACTTCCTTTGCAGTCTAAGAGATCACCACTAGGAGGCAGCAGATCACTTCCATGCGCATGGCCCCATTAAATTCTATTGGCACCGGGATCAGTGCATTTCCCTGACAGACTGGGCACATGCCAGGCAACAGCCACAGGCATCCAGCCTCGCTTCCCCATTTGCCCAGAGAAGTCATGACCTCCTACTCCACCCAGCTAGCAACACAGCCTGCCAGTGAGGCTGGGATCAATGCCTCTGTGACAAGAATAGGCAAATGTGTTCTGTTGCCCTACTGATGTTTTCAGTCCAGACCCAATTCTACATGCTCTGCAGTGACTTACACAACTGCTCCCTCTTCCCCACTTGCCCCCCACTCACGTGACAACACGAGGGCATTGGAGTTGCCCCCAAACACATGGCTGATAATCCGGTTTCACATACGTGTCGACTCCATCCTCCACCACACAGCTCACACTCCGTGATACCACATAGGCACACCAATTCCTGCAAAGGCACGAGAAAGAAGGTCTGGTTGGGTTGATCCACAACTGAATTATTTTGTTCTACTTTTAGCCTATGCAGTCAGCCTAACTGAACAGCCCAAAGTCTACCCCATTTCCAGATTTCCACATGTCGTAGATGCTCTAATTCAAGTTTGAGGCCAGAACCTAAATGGCTTTCTTTTCAGGGACATTTTCTGAGCAGCATATGTTTTCAACCCCTGCCTACTCCAAATTGCTAAAGATAAAGAGCAATGCTGCTTTGACATATTTGGCACAAGGCTCAGTTTCTAAAGAGAGGATGAGGATTTGAGAGAGAGGCCTTAAGTTTTAATGCCTCTTTTAAATTAATTAAATCCTCAAAGCAAAGCACAGGATTCAAGTGAAAGCCAGAAGCAGATGTCCCCAGGCACACATTGATGTTAACCTAAACTAAGAAACTCTTCCTCTTCATTGTTGCTGTTGTTGTTATTAAACAAAGGGATTTTAATAAAGACCAAAAAAAGTACTGAGTGGAGAAACTGGGTGCTGAGCTACAGAGCTGGGACATGTTTATACAAAGGCAACATAGGATGGGGGACACTTGGTTCTGCAATAGAACATCTGAAAAGGATGTTTTCACATTCAACATCAGCCAGCAATATGATGCAGCCACTAAAAAGGCCATGCTATCTTGCATTACATTAATATGAGCATAGAATTCAGATCATAGGAAGTAATTGTTCCTCTCCACAGACTCCATTTGGAGAGATGGATACCATAATTCAAAAACGACAGTAACAAGTTGGAGGAAGTTCAGATGAGGGCTACTGGGAACAGTAAGGGGTCTGAAACCAAGCCCTATGATGAGAAATTAAGGGATCTGGACAGAAAAGACCAAAAGACTGAGGGGAGAAATGACAGAAGTCAATAATCTGAACTATTGTCACACAGAAGGGGGAATGGATTTATTTTCCATAGCCTCAGAGGGCAGGACCAGAACCAATGGATTAAAATTACAAGGAAGGAGTTCAGGTTTAATGTCAAGAAGAACTTCCCAACTACATTGCTATCAGCCAGTGGAACAGGCCACCACACAAAATGATGAGCTCTCCTTCAGTGAAAGTCTTCAGGCCCAAGTTGGATAATCAGAGATGCTCTAGGGGATCCTGTACTGAGTAGAGGGTTTGACTAATGTCCTTTTCTGTGAACAGACTACTGAGAATCATACGATTGTGGCAGTATAAAAATCTGACCGATATGTTAGATCAGATTAAATTTGCTCTCACTTGCCCAAGTGAGAGCAAATGTGGTATCTCCCACTCTAGTGTTTGGGAGCCACAGAATCCCTCAAGATCTTGAGTAACAGAGAAAATGGAACCAGAGCACTTCCCTCTTTTCTTGTCTCTTGGCAATACACTTAATGAAGGAGTTCTAACTCCCTGCTCACTTCCTTCCCTTGCCACCAAGAGCCCAGTTGCAGTACTAGTCTGTCACAGGTGAACTGCCTCAAGGACGCTTTTCACCTTTGCTTGGCTATATCCTTAAAGCCTAATGGCCTTTAAGCAAGGAGGAGTGTGACCTGAGCAGGGAGATTCTGCTAAAAAACAGCCAGGTCAAAGGGCAGAGGTGCCTCTACCCATTCCCGGATGAGATTAGTCTAAACCAACAAGTTACTTTACCACTGGTTAATGTTTGCCCAGTTCACCTTATCACCTTTCCCATCCTGAAAGAGGAAATCCAGGGCATTTCCAGCATGCCAGGGTCAACATGAGAAAGAAATTCACATGAAATGATAACAGATTGATCCTCTAAGCATGTGCAGAGAACCTTTCTTGCGCTATAATTACTAAGAAGAGACTTTGAACATGGGCAGCTCAGGTCAGACTTCAATATAAGCCTTTTACCTTTAATCTGGACCTCAACGTTTGTGCCTCCACTGAAATCCGCCAGAAAAATCAAGGAGCAGAAGGCCCCACTCTGTTGGGAATTTCCAGCAGATGGCAAAACTCATTGGTTTTGACAGCGTTTGGAGATCTGAGATAATATGTTGTTTCTGTCTGGCTGCTATTTTTGTGTAATGTTTGCGCACTGATTCAGTGCATTTTCATAATGGATGATTTTAGTCTTCGTTGTTATAAACTGCTCAATAGATGCGTGGCTGAAGAACTGCCTATAAATCTAACAACAGATAAATAAACTTGAGACTTCCAAAACCAGCACATGAGGAAAGGCCTAACTAGGAAAAATCATGGGGAGAAACCTATCCTATTCTGGGCAAGTTATGGAGTAATAAGATGGGAGGAGGAAGTGAAGGGTGATTATATGAATGAACAAGTCTTGTATTACTGTGCTTTGCTCCCCTGACCTACAACTCTTGCCAAGATCCATTTCTTGTTGCTATTTTCTGGAGCCCCTTTCTTCCTCCCTCTGTACAATGCTGCTCCTATTTCCCATTCTGTACCAGAGTGGCTGCAAATTTACCCTGGAATACAACTCCCCCTTCCAAAAAGCTAGTATCCATTCGAACCTCAATTGCTTTTGCTTTTCCTCCTCCCCCCACATTTGCTAGGAAAGAGTCTGAAGTACTAAAGAAGGCAGCAAACTTCCTTCCCCCACCCCAAAGAACACTGTTTCCTGTTTCCAGTATTTGATTCTTCAGCATTTATCTCAATTCCTCAACATCCCACAAATATTTTGTGGTCACCATGATGCACTCCCCCATAAAGCAACCAGCATTTATCTCAATTCCTCAACATCCCACAAATATTTTGTGGTCACCATGATGCACTCCCCCATAAAGCAACCAGCATTTATCTCAATTCCTCAACATCCCACAAATATTTTGTGGTCACCATGATGCACTCCCCCATAAAGCAACCCATTCCCAAGCGTTATTTTCACAAATATTAACAGCATAAAGTACATCGAGTCAGCAGGACTCTCCTTTACAAGCATCCACACTCACCCCATGCCTGTGGGAAATGACCACCACCCCAAACAAAACAGGAAGTTGATGGGGTGGATAGCTAGGCCAACTATTTAGGATCATGTTGGGCATGGGATAGTCCTCAGCCCTTAATTTGCATCCAGAGCCTCTTTCCACCTTCCGTAGGTAAAGACAAGCACATGGACAGGGATTGAGGCCTGTTGCTATGGAAACACCATTGTCCCCACCTCTTTTCCATGTTCACTGTCAGGCATCTTTCTTGGAGTTTCAAGCCAGTGTATAAGCAATCATAACAAAAATACATAAAGTCCATTAAAAAGGAACAGATTATGAGGCCATTCATGACTTCCCTCTATTCAGATTTAAAATTTGAAATTGACATAATGTGAGTCCTAATTTCCTTTTTCAAACCCACATGGAGAGATAAGCAGAGGGTACTTTTAAACCTGCAATCACACACAATGTAGATTTGTCGCTGCTGAGATGGGCCAGCCAGCCTTATCTAAATATCCAACACTTAAGCAAACAAGGCCTCCTCTAGTGGGGCCTTTTCACAATCCTCCATCCTCTTCCACCCGGCTCCTAGGTCTCCTCCATATCCTTTAAAACCTCATAGGAACATAAAAAGGTGCTTCCCCTAGTACCCTCCCCTCAGGCCGGTGGGTAACTGGAAGGTGGTAACCAGCTTCCCAGAAGCTCAGATGCAGAAGCGCATTATGTCCGGGTTTCTGCCTTTTGCCCTTCCATTTCTTTCTGGAAGAACCCACATCCAGACGGCTTGATTTTGTCCCAGCCCTGCATCTGCCACGGACCGTATCGTCAGCTGTCTTACCTGTGGCGGCTGGCCACCCGTGCCCCGTTGGGTGCTTGTGCTGTGCCTTGATGCTGTGTGAAAGGCAGGCTGGCCCCCGTGTACAGACTGTACCTGGGGGGGTAGTTCATGCCCCAGACCTCCTTGGCCAGGAGGCCCCACCAGATGCAGAGCCATGCGGTGGCCCCAGGGCCGGCCATTCCCAGTTCTTGGTGGTCCTCTCCCTGGGCCCCCGGGTCAGCTGCACATGGCCTGGGCCCCTAGGCCTTGGCAGCAGGGCCAGTGATGCTGGCAGAGCAGGAGTCCTCCTTCCTTTCTGGCCCTCTCCCCGACGCTCAGCCTGCAGGCAGGACACAGGCCGAGAGGGCTCTGTGCAGCCGCTCACTCCTCACACACTGACAGCTTTGCAAACTTCCCAGAGCTGGCTTGCTCACTCCCCCCAACTTCCTGCCTGGCAGCTCTGGGCCCCAGCGCCCTGCTTCCCCCCACCAGCCTTCCCTATCCTGGGCTTCCCTGCTCCCTGCCCAACCGCTGGCTCCCTCACCCCTGGACTGGCCTTGGCCCTCTGAACATCCCCTCCGCCAGCCTTGCTCGAAATGGGGATTTTCTGCAATCTCAGTTCCTGCTTGGCCACCCCTCCCTCCTGTGCTGGCTTTGGGCTGCTCGCTCACATCTGCTTCTCGTTACAGTTGGGACGGGAACGGGGGGGGGGGGGTGGGCGGGAAAGGGAAAGGGGGGGGGGGGGAGTGTGCAGGAATGGGAAAAGCGAGAGGGGGTGGGCATGAAGCCCGCCCAGCCCAGGGGAGTCAGCACAACACTGCTACTGAGTGAGGTCCCTGCCACAGGGCAAGAGGCCATGTACCCACCACGCGTGGACCCTGTGCCTTGACACACCACTCTCCCCCCATAGGGCTGGGGAAATGATCTCCGCTCTGTGACCACTTCATGGGCCTTGGTGTCTGCTGCCCCTCCGGTTCTCCCACGTCACTAGCCAGGAGAGTTTCCAGCAAGCGGCCTGTCTGGCTAGTCCCCAAAGAGATGTGTGCATGTGTGCGTGTGAGAAAGAGAGGAACACATCTGAGACAGGGGAGCCTTTGTTTCTGAGAAGGGGGGCGGCATTCTCTGACTTGTTTCCATAGTCCTGCAATCTTGCTGCTCTTCCCTGGCCAATCTCACCTGCTCCCCTAGACTACAGCCCAGCCATCCCACGCTGGGATTTCTTCCCAATGTCCCAAACAGCGTTGCAATGCGGCCTGCTACTACTGGAGAGGCCTGATTTTACACAAACATCTCAGTCCACCTGGACATAATGGCTGCTACGCCCTGGCCTCCAACTTTCCTATAAACAGGAAGTTTTTACCTAGAGGGCCCATAATGCCTGAGGACTACCAGACAGGGGCTAAAAGTGCTGAGCAAAACAAAAAAGGAGGTACCAGAGTTAAATCTCTCTTAGAAGGCCTTGAGACTGAATTCCCCATTCCCTTTATGTGGAGAACAGACCATTTTAGAGTGAGGTATCATCGAGTAAGGCTGATTCCATGGGCAAATACGCACCGTTTGACCTCTCTCTCCTAATTACTTGTAGGTGTTCCCAGGACATTCCTGGAAACCTTAGATCCCATCAACTCCCCTTATCCTGGAAAGAAGTGTGTTCTTCCATTCTGGAATGAAGCTGTCAAGCAAACTTCTAAGAGGGCATCCAGTCCATGTGCGTAACGATTCTGCAGCTACCAGCCCCACCTGTTCTGACCACAGTAGCTCCAGGAAGGCAATCTCATGGTCCTTTCTTATACCTCAATAGGACCGGCAAAAGGAGATGGGTGCGATATATCTGGGCAGCAGGAGTTACCCCAGCTTTTCTGAATCTGTAGATGTACCTGGACTATAACACCTTCCATCCCCAAGAGCTGGCAATGCTGGGTGGGGTTTCTAGAAAGTTCAGACTGGAGACCATGGAATTCATTATATTTTCCAAAATGGCAGCTGATAAGGAAGAGTTGTCCTTTTCCAGATGTTATATAGTATGTGAATACACCCAGTTGGGTGGCAGCATCTAGACAACCTTGGCTAATCTCAAAAAAAGCTAAATAGGATTGTACCTGATTAGTATTTGGATGGGAGACCACCAGGCTAGACTGGGATTTAAAACAAAATCCATGAAGAAGGCAGCAAGAAACTGCCACCATGTGGTTGCCAAAAATCTGTATCACCATGGCCAGGAAGTCACCAGGAGTTGAGCTCAGCTTGAAGGAGACTTTACTGCTTATACGTATGAGCGATGAGGATGAAACATGTCTCTCTGCCACTTCCCCCATCTATGTGTGTTCATATAGCACACCCGAACAGCGTCTGGAGCATTCAGTTCATGCAGCAGGGGTGTCAATGTTGTCCCGATGTGAATGAGAAGTATGGGCTGGGACAGACATGGGCAAGGGGCATAGTATGCCACAGCGCATACTTCTGTGACGTGCAGATGCCGGACTATTTATCCATGATGTAGTAAAGTCCAATTGTTCCCCAAAGACCTTTGAGACCCACAGACAACAGGTGAGTAAGCATTCCGATTCTTCTTCTCTGCAGAGACAAATGTCTCTGCCTCCCCTTTCCTGTTGTTTTGTTCATCCTTATGCTGAGCTAGTGTCTGTTGCTGGCTGGCCCGTCTCTCTGCAAAAGCCATCAGCATGGGGAAAGCAAGCTAGCACCAGGAAAAAAAGTGGTCCCCCACTTCTGCCTTCTGAATAGTAGAACGGGAAAGGAGAGAACAAGACACGCAGGCCGGAAATACGCAACACACAACACATGCTACAACCGCCAGCTGGAAATTGCCAAGGGACGTGAATATGATTTTTATCTTGGGGCAAGGTATTTGGCCCAAGGGGCGAGGAAACAACCTCCCATCAGATCCTTCTGCATGGAACAGAGCTCAAATTACAGATTATTTGCGGGGGGGGGGCAGAGGAAACTCAGCACCCTTACCATTTTTGATGGGCCCCTTAACTCCTGTTTTCTTAGCATGATTTGGCTAAAATTAGGAGGAGCCAAGCAAGGGTCAGGCTTGTGGATTTCATTACCACCCCCCTTTCCTGCATAATCAAAGTATTGTGCATGAGTGATGGGTGCACGGGGGGCGTGGGGGGGAGAGACTTACATCTGGTGGTGGATTCAGAATGAGAATCTAAGAGATTCTCTTAGAGGAGAATCGTGTGTTCTTAGAATCTCTGACCTAAGAACACACGTCTACCACATCAGCACGTTGGGCAGAAATTCAGTGAGTGTTGTCTTCCCATCCTGGCGTTCCCAGGCCTAGGAGATATATTTTTCTGTTCATCATGCATTTAATGGCATATGAGAGTTGCCCTTATCTCAGATGAAGAAGAAATAGAGGACAGAGAAGGCACATTCTTTCCATACTCAGGTGGATAATTTCAATGCTAAGCACTGAAAATTGCCCCCAAGCACAAGTTTTTGCCCTGCCACCCTTCACGCTCCAAGGCCATGCAACAAGCTCGGCCCTCCGATGAAGGCTTGGTCAAGCCTCCCTATGTTTCCCATTATGCAAAGGCCTCCCCTTCCCACCAAGTCTTCTTGCACTAGAGCCAAGAGTGGAACTGCGTGAGGTCTCTCCTCTCACCCATGTCCCTTGTAAGACCCTCATCTCACAGCTTTAAGTGCAGGACCCTCTCTTTTCCCTCCATAAACAGACTCCAGGCAGTGAGTTCATTGTTTGTACTGGGTGGGGGAGGGGGAGTAATTTTCCGGGAGGCACCAGCAGTTTTTGGTGTACAGGGAGAGGAATGTTTAAATGCAGTGATTTTTCAAAAAAAATGTTAGATTTTTATCCCACCTTTATTATTATTTTTTATATAAATAGCTCAAGGCAGTGAACCTACATAATACTCCTTCCTCCTCCTATTTTCCCCACAACAACCACCCTGTGAGGTGGGTTGGGCTGAGAGAGATCATATGGAAAACTCTGGCTCATACTTTTTGTACATCCCCTGCCCCAAATCATCTCCTTAATACAGAAGGAGAACCTTGTGTGGGCATGATCGCTCACAGTTCTTGCTGTCCAGAATAAATAAAAACATACACACATATCTACCTCCAGAGTCTAATAACTCAAACTTTGGCTGCCTCCAGAAAACTAAGGAATGCCTTTGGTCAGCTGAGGCTGGCCCCTCAGCTTCCACCTTTCTCGGACAAAGATATTGGCCACAGTAATCTATGGTCTAGTACAGTGTTTCTCAACATTGGGAACTTTAAGATGTGTGGACTTCAACTCCCAGAATTCCCCAGCCAGCATGGGTGCCTTAAAGTTCCCAGGGTTGAGAAAAACTGGTCTAGTAACTTCCCAGTTAGACTCCTGGAGTTCATGTGGATCTGCCCTTGAAGAGTACTTGGAAACTGCAGTGGGTGGCAGAAACAGTGCCGTTTAGATGATATCTTAGAGATCATGTAACATGCATCCTGAAGGATCTGCTCGGGCTACTAGTTGGACTTCAACGTTTAGGTTATTTTATTTACTTGACAACCCAATCACAGAGTGACTGTCAATAGTTACAGAGTGACTTAGGAGAGTGTGTGCAGGCTATACATGTAAGACAGTGTTGGCATACGATCACAGTAAGCACAAGAAATTGGTGATGGCTCACTGTAGCTTAATTTGCCTCTATAGAAACGATGATGTCATAAACCAAAGAAGAATGATGTCATCACAGAGGCATCCAGCCAAGCCTTGCTGACTAGCAAATGAGCAATAATATAATATGGGAGATGAGGGAGGAAAAGACCACTGCTGTCTTTCTTCAGTAAAGATGTCTGAATAGTTTTAGACTAGCCTTGCTTGCAGGGCAGTGGGGCTTTTGTAATTTTTCAGGCATTTAAGGAAAACATAAAGCCACAACCCTTTTAAATGTGCCTAGATTTAATAAAACATTAACATACAAGTGGATATACATATGTGTCATCCACGGCTTGTGCTCCCTATCTTCAGACTCAGGAAAACACCCATCCTGGCCTCTCACCACAACTTTAGTAGTATTTGGGGGTGGAAGACAACAGGCTTGGAAGATGGGGCTAAGGAAACCACAGCAATGCACATGACCTCAGAAGAGAAAGCAGTCACGGGGCACCGCTGTCTTACTCCAAGATCGCCACATGTGAAAGATCCTGCCAGTTCTGCCTGCTGCAGCAAATGGCAGCCCCAAGCAGGCAGAATACCTAGGGCAGGGACAGAGTGGTTCTGGGCTTCTGAAACAGAACCTCGAATCCCTGGTGGATTCTGTCTGTTGCGTCTATAGTTCCAGGTCCTGATTCTCCAGGGGAAAAGAAAGGAGGAGCTATGACCAGGGTCACTCTTGATGTGCTGGACAGTGCTGTGGGCAGCGGTCCATAGTTCAGGTCACAGGAGAGGAGAAGGAAGCCCTTTAAACCTGGGCCTCTCCAGATGCTGTTAAAATACAATTCCCAGCATCCCTCATCAATTGCCATGATGTCTGCAGACTACTGGGTGTTGTACTTTAGCAACATTGGGAGGATCACAAGTTCCATACTTTGCTTGAACAGAAATGTTTCCCAGAGAGCACAGACACCAAGCATCCTGAGGAAACCAGAGGGGCTAGTAATCCAAGGGC